TATCAAGGTCCAATAATCAATGTTAATTCTAGTTTTTTTAGCGCAAGAGTTGGAAAATAAATTTATAATGAAATTATTTTTTCCCATTTCACACACAAAACACTTGAGAACTAAAAAAATCGAGCCAAGAATTATATTAAATAATTCGTTCAACGATATTTACAAAAGTAATAAATTAAAGTACAAAGAAAAACAAAGCAATCTATTACATCTGAATTGATAATCATGAAATAAATATATATTGGCAAGATTTTATTGACTAGGATTTTTTGTATGTATACGTGTATGTTTATGCGAGGTGTTATTTGCCATATATAAATATTCAAAAAATAATGTATGCAAGAAAAGCGTGCCATGCTAGCATAAAGCACTATTTTTCCGCTTACAGAAGAAGCATATATATAATAAATATGTATATTGACACAATGGTAATAATTTAAATGAAATAAATCTATTAATTCCAAAATTTAGTAATAAAAATAAAAAAAATAGGAAAAACTAATAATTAATTTATAGGATATAATGTATATATTTTTTGATAAGAAACTAAGACTTTTTACATACAAATACAAAAAATCAGTAATAATAGAAATTGATAAAATTTGTAAGTTAAATAATAAAATTGGAAAGAAATAAATAATGAATGATTTTGTGTATTATAATAAATAATGAATATGCAAGGAACATTCATCTTTTTTTAGGGCGATGCTGTTTCTCTTTTCAATCGCCACAATGACGTTTTTTCGCTGATGACAATGACTCCTTCGATGCCACAATGCCTCCTTTTTATTATACATCCAAAGAAGAGACGCTAGTGAATTGATATATAGAATTTCACCACAATTCTGAAACCTATCGAAGAAATTATGTGTTGTTCGCTGCTACAATTTTGATAATGATAATGATGATGTAGCCCGTCGACGGCGTTTATGTGTCTTTTCTAATTTACTTCAATGAACTTGAAGCAGGTATATAAGAACAGGATAATGTTCTTTGCTGATGCTGATCATGTCAGCAAAGATTAGAAACACATAAATTTGCTCCTTTTTGCTATCAATTCTTCCATGCGACTTTCAAGGGCCATTTTAGCTCGCTCTGCTTTTTCTTTTGCTTTACGCTCTTCTTCAACCCAATTTTCCAATGTTTTCTTTTCTTCTTCTACCGTAGACCTTGTATATTCTACAGCATGTCTTGCATCATCAAGTTGTTTTCGTAATGTCTTAATTTGCTCAACATACTCTTGCTTTTCGCTTTGCAGTACACTTAGTTGCTGTGTTGCAACTCGAACATTTGTCTCTGCGTCACTAAGTTTTGATTTTAGTTCTTCAACTTCTTGTCGACTTTGAATGTTTTCACCTTCCATTTTTGCGATTTTCTTGTGGAGTTTTTGAATTTCTTGTGCAAGATCATCACGTGTCGTGTTTGTATCTGACACGTTTGTTTTTGACATTGCAGATTCAGAGCGTGGTAATGGGGAACGTGGTGGAGGTGGAATTGGAGTACTGTAACCAGATGGCGGAGGGGTACCTGGACCCTGAGGAATAGGCGGTAATGCGGTGGGAGGTGGAGGCAAAGGAAGGCTGGGCGGCGGTGTTGGCGGTGGTGCTTTTACAAGATTTCCAGCAATAGTCGGTCGATACGAACCCTTCTTTATTAAATCGGAGGAATTTGAAGATGTTGATAATGTTGACATTCTGAAGTTGTCAGTTGAATCAGGATTTGCCGACGCTTCACGAGGTGAATTAATATTATTATCATTGGATCTCTGTTCTAATTCAGAAAGCTTCTCTTGAAGAGATTTTATAAGCGAACTTTGTTGTGCAATTGTATCTTCTTGTTCTGTCAACTTTGATTGTAAGTTATCAATTTCTGCGCCACTTTCTGGTGACTTTGAATCGCTTGTTTTTTCTTGTTTAGCAAGTCTTTCCTCATTTTCCAATAATAACCGTTCAATTTCTTGTTCCATTTCATTTGATTCTTGTTTTGACCGTTGAATCAATGAAGCGAGTTCTTTTTCAAGGGAAACTATTTTATTATTTTGTTCAGCTATTGTAGATGCAGCCTTGTTTCCACCAGCGCCGACTGTTTCCAATTGCTGCATTAATGATTCGATTCTTTGATCAAGTCTGCCACGTTCTTCAAAGAATGAATTGTTGGCCTGTTCTAATCCTTCTTTTTCGGCTTCGAGTTCTTTAATTTTTTCATGTAATTCATTCATCTCTTTGATATCCATCGCCAACTTTTGTGCCTCTTCAAGATCTTTTTCCAATCTCTTTACCTTTTCAGTTAATGTCGCAATATGTTTTTCTGCCTCTGTAATCTGGAGTTTTTGTTGTCTGGAAATTTCTTCAACTTCCTCGTATTTTGCGAATTCATCAGTCAAAGATACAAGCTCATTTTGGAACTGTTCTACTTGTTGTTTAAGTTGCTTAATTTCATTGTCTTTATCTGTTTCTAGTTGTTTCAAAGTTTGTTCCAGTTCAAGAACACGATCTTGAGACACTGTACTATCTTTATTTGAATCATTTGCTTTCAAATTTTCAAGTTCACGTGCGAGTTCATCTGCCCGTTGAGCGTTTTCATCACTTTGTCGTAATGTATCGGTTAATAATTGTGATAATTCTTCAGTTTCTTCAGAACGATTTTCTCTGGATGCTAAAGCAGCCTTTAGTTCCTCTTTAACTTGATCCAGCTCAGATTGAAGACGAATATTTAATGTCTTTTGTGCCAATATTTGATTCTTTATATCAAGCTGATTTAAATCTCCGCCATTTATTTCTGAATCTAATTGACCTTCCAGTTCACTAATCTCAAGCGTTATTGCTTCTTCTTTTTTCAGAACTTCTGTTAATTTAACTTTGAGATTTTCAACTTCGGCTTCTTTTGATTTCAACCGTTGTTGTATAAGACTTTTATCTGCCAAGTCTCGTTTAAGCATATCAATTAATTCGTATTTACGCTTGATATCTGATTTTAGTGTGTCAAGTTGCTCTTGAAGAGTGTTGACTAGATCTTGTTCGTCTTTTAGAGCTGGAATTGTTTCTGCTTTTGTTGCTAGCTCCTTTTGTAAAACTTTAAGTTTATCGTATAGAGCATCGAGATTTTTGTGCATCGGATCATTGACATGTATATAGGAACTTCGAGGTGTGGGAACATGTTGAGCTTCTTTTGCATTTGTAAGTTGTGCATCAAGATCTTTGATTTTTTCTTCAAGGGCTTTGATTGTTTCGTCATTTTGTTGAGCATCGTTAGTTTCTTTGTTCTTTTCTTCTAAAGTTCGACGAAGCGCTTCTTGAGCTTGTTGTAACTCATCTTCTAATCTTCGAATTGTATTCTGTTGCTCGATAGAAGGTAGCAATAAAGTTGCAATAATTTGACTTTTTGCTTCGATCAAACCTTGAAGCTTTTCCATTTGCTGTTGAAGAGCTATAGACTCATCATTTGAATCGGATGGTGTTTCTTCGTCTTTGACTTCTTCAACTTGGATTTTAGTTGGAACACCTTCAAGTCGTGCAGCAGCTTCAGCAACGTATTCTTTGCGTTTGATTTCATAAGCTTCTTCAAGTTTTTCTTCAAGCTCTTTTACCTTAGCTTCAAGCTTAATGACATGTTCCTTAGTATTCGTTTTCAAATCATCCGAATTTGCACTCGAATCCACGCTGGAATCCGCAACGTTATCTTTGGCTTCTTCGGCCATTCGTAATTCGGATTTCAGATGCTCGATTTCCGACTCCAATTTTAATACTTGATCGCTTTTAGCAAGCCTTTGATGTTCGGAAAGAACTTCCATGGTACGACGTTGCTCATCCTTGAGTTGTTCGACTTCATCTCGAAGACGCTGGACAATATCAAGTTGGTCGACTTCACTGGTTGTAGCAGAATATCCGCCAAATCCAGCTAAGCTTCCTTCATTATATTCTGAAGTCGCAAGAACCGACCTTACCTCGATTTGTGCAAGCTCATCACGTTTCTTGATTTCATCACGAAGTTCCTCAACAATTTCAAGATTTTCACGATGATTCATCTCGAGTCGAGCTAGTTCTTGCCTAACATCTTCAAGACCTTTTATCTTTTCGTTGTGTAACATCTCCATTTGTTTCAATTCAATTTCTAGATTTTGAACAATAACAGCACTTACAAGATCTGCTTTCTCATTACCATTAATCTCGTTAGAAAGGGATCTGGCTCTACGATGCAATTTCAAGGAATCAGCTAGAGAATCGGATCCGGACTCGGGAGGATATGTGCTAGTTCGAGGGGTATTAGGTTCCGAATCAATTATATTGATATTGAGCAATTTAGTTTCATTTAGAAGCTGACGAAGCTCTTCGATTTCACGAAGACTTTCGTCATATTTTTCTTTGAGCTCCGCAAAAGCAGCCAATACTTCATTGTGATTTTTTTGGAGTTCAGCTAGCTTTGATTCAAGTTCTGCTATCACGAAACGGTCAGCCATAATACCCACCGGCGTAGGCGTGTTTGAGCTTGGTGGGGTGGAGAGAGGAGTATCTTCTTCAAAAGATGGCGAAGAGCTAGACGAAATGAAGCCTTCATGATCATGATCCGTAAATTTCCTCAGTTTATCAATCTCAAATACAAGATCTTCAACTTTTTTCTCAAGCATAGTAATTCGCCGATCTCGATCACTGATCTCATTTATGAGTTTTATTCGATCTGTATCCTCTTCTGTTTGTTTTAATTTAATCTGTAACGCTTGATACGCTTCTTCTCGTTCTTGAAGTCTTCGTTCAAGTTCCTCTGCCGATTTATTGAATTTGGCAATTTGTTCATCACTTTTAACGAGGCGCATTTCAAGATCTTGAATATAATTTTCATTTTTTGCACCACTTGTCTTGAGTTGAGTTATTTTTCCTCGCAATTCCGTAATCAAGTCTAGATCCTTTTTTTGTTGTGCAGAATGTTCTTGTAACTTTTGTTCAAGATCTTTGATATACAATTCTGTTGTCGACTCTCTTTCGGTCATCTTTGCTATTTTCATTGTAAGATCTTTGATCCAATTCTCATTTCGACGATTTAATTCCTCTGCGTATTTGAGTTTATTCTCTTGTTCTAACATCTTGGTTTCGTTATACTTTACAGCAGCACGAGAAAATGCTAACTCGCCTTCCAGTTTCGTGATAGAAATTTCGTACTCTTTGATCACAGGTTCTACAGCTTCTTGGAAACTGTCGGTAGCTCTTAACATGAAATTTTTTTCTTCCTCCTCTACAATAGATGATAATGTCTGAGCGCCCGTTGAATGATCATTTTCATAATTCATGTGAGGATTATTAACACCATCGAAATTGTCTTGATGTTTTGCAAGTTCGGCATTAGACTTTGCATATTTTTGCGAGAGCTCAAAGTAAGACTGTTGTAATTCCTTGAGCTGTTCTTCAAGTAATCCAACATCCTTGTCTTTGGCATTGGAAAAGGAACCATCAGATAACGGATTAGATAGCTGTCGCGTATGAGTAGGTGATTCAAATCCATTTATAGGAGTGCTTCGGCCTGAATGGGTTATTGATTCAGCTCTAGAGACAGATCTAGAACCAATGCCATTATTATCTTTTAACGCTCTAATCTCGTTTCGAAGTTTTATTACTAGGCTTTGCAAATGCTCCACATCTTGCCAGCCAGATTCCTCTTCGTTAACCCTCGCTTGATTTTTGATGTTCCGTGCACGATTGGCATACTTTATCGTGTTCACCGTTTCGTTTAAATTGAATTCAGCCGGAGATACACATGCGATCATTAGTGTCTGTGCATTTCCACCAAGAGAATCTTGTAATAAACGTGTCAGTTTTGAGTCTCGGTACGGAATGTGCTTTTGATGCTTGGCCTTGTATGGATCACCCAAAGCCGAAATAACGTTTCCTAGTGCAAGCAATCCGGAATTTATAGAAATTCCTTCTTTCGCACGTTCACCTATCGCTGATGTTCTTTTTAGCTATTTATGGCAAAAATGATGAGAAATATAATTATTATGCTCGTTTCGGATGCTAATATACGAATAATATAATACATACCCGTTCACTACCAGCCAAATCGACAAAGTGGAATTTACTCGTAACAGTGACCCAATCTCCTTCGTCGAATCTCTTACTCATTCGAGAACTCGACCTTGAAGTTGCACCTGATCGCGATACAGTTGATGAAGGTATAGTAGCTGATAATGGTGTTGGCGGATTATGTATTGGACTTGCAGAATTTCCATTCGCCGGGACGAATTTCTGCTGTGTTAATGTTACTGAAAATATTGCATGTGATCGAGATGAAACAACATTCATTTCTGTAGCGCCAACTTGTCGATTTAACGATCCTCGAGCTAAATGTCTAAAAAGAGGAACATTAAAAAAATTAGCGTGAATTTCAAAACATTATTAGATAAGCATGATGATAAAGATTTATAAAAGGAAGAATTCTTACCCCATCACTTCTTCCACAGAATTAACTCGGAATTCTTGCAGACCACTCCATAAAATATTTCCCTTATTATCTTCTCTTATTGTAATTTGTGGTCTTTCATCTCCATCTCGTTCACCCAGCAGATCTATCAAATCTTCATTATAAATCTCTATAAATGAGACTTTTATTGCAAACTTGCGCGTTCTATATTGTGTCGAGTTTATGGCAGAGAAGAGAGATGCCATAGCCCTGGGAATAATGCCTTTAGTTTCGGGTAGTTGACTGGCATTATCAGCAGTACCCATTGTGTGTGTCTTGCCTGAAGATGTTTGACCATACGCAAGGATGGTTGCATTGTATCCTGTAGTCAAGGATTAATAGAATAAAGTCAACATAGTTAACATTAAATAATTCTTCGAATAAAACTATTTATCATTTTTTAATGCCATTTTCGGATTAATACGATCAGTATCTAATAGTTAAAAAGTTACTTTATATATATATATATATATATATATATATATTACGTATGCAAGCTAGCGTGATCATGTATATTCAGCTTCTTTGGTTTTTGATTTTTCCCACTAAATAATGATTGAAAAAGAACAACGTGGGATTTAAAGATCTAACGAACAAATATCATTAGGCAACTTCGTGCCCGAGTTTAATAAGATTTCTTTGATACTGTTCTGCCCATTCCACATATCTATCTATTAAAAATCGTCTCGCAAACATGCCCGTAAACTATATATGTTTGACGCGTAAATTTTTGCTCAATTTCGAAAAAGACAATCTCATTCAAGCATCTAGTTTCTCATCTCGAAAAATCAATCCAGTAAATACAGTAATTCGGGCCAAGTATTCAGTATTGATGCGTGCTCAAAATAATAGAATTAAAATGCTACTCAAGTGCTCTGCCAAGAAACTTTTTTTCTAGTTGTTACCGATAAGTAATAAATATTCTCAACTTCTCTCAATTAATTAATTGAAAAACATTTGACCCCATAATTCGAAACGGCTCTTTCTGCGCTGATCTTTTCAACTAACCTTCTATAAATTTATCGATTAAACCTAAAACCGATTTTTCATAGACATCTCTTTGTGTGGCTTCGGGGCCAAATACGTTGTCAAAGGAAAAATTTAATTTCTTGTCAGCATGTACAATAACTTGGTTCGGTACAAACGGCGAGGTTGTTATAACCTGGCGTTGAAATCGTGTCGGAAGATTTTTTAAATCCTCATTTGTTATTGGTCGTATTCGAAGTGCTAAACGAAAAGATGGATTTGAGTCAACACTGAAAGGAAAATTGAGCATCCTTCTTGTTTTCATTTTTGCACTTACCAACAGAAACTGATGTCTTTTCGGGTGACCCCGTTCCTGCAGAGGCCATTTCCTTTAAGGTATATTAAGTTTGGGACAAATAGATAAATAAAACGTGCGATATTTTTTTTGAATAATAATAATAATAATAGTTTATTAAAAAAAACTTATAAACGAGCGAGAAGTTTTTTTTGTAATTTAAAGTATAAAAAAGGAATAAAAGGAAGTTGAAGAAACAGTTAAAGACTTTACGGCTTTCCACAGGTTGATATATTAGGTCGCACAGCTTAATTATGTTAAATTACTCCGATTATATGATTTTAAATATTTGGGTCGGAGACATATGAATTCAAATATCTGAGACAGAGCACCAATACAATACGAAGTCGTCCAATTGTCATACTTTTTGTCTTACCCACTAACCT